ACACACGCACACACACACACTGGCTAAGGTTTGTCTGGGAGGAAGGCAGGTTGCTGGGCTGTGACGGAGCGAGGGAGATCGGATCAGGTGGTCTGGTAGCCAGTTTGTCTTGAGTATCCACACAGCTGTCCCTCTGAAACTAGAACTCCATTGAAGCTTCCTGCCTCAAACTCCCTGTCTGTCCTACAACATGGTGTCATCTCTGTCCACATGGTGACATTGCTGCAAGCTGTTGGAGAGCCTCATCAGATCAGTACATCCCTGTGGCACAGATGGGGACGTATCGAAACATATCTTCTCTCTATGTCCAACAACGCCAAGTTTACTTTTATTATTTTTGAAGATTTCATAACTTTTATTCACTGCTAATATGTGGAGGATGCAAGCACATCAGTCATGTAGACCAGTGCAAACCAAAATAAATCTTGGGATTGGCATGTTTATAGCTGTATAGACTAAATAATTTATTTCATGATAGTTTCACTGCCACCTGAAAATCAATTGAATTAACTGAATAATATTGTTACAAAAATTCTACAGTCAGTATTCAAAATCAACAAATCTCAGAACTTTTTGGTTTGAATGATCTATCTAAGTAGTTAAGAGTTCAAGAGTATCGGAAAGGCATGGAACTTGTGCTTGAACTTTATTTTAATTGACTTATTTACACATTATTTATTATTCTTATCTTATTTAATCATATAAGCTTCATTACGTTTATGTAGTGTTTTTAATGTATTTATTATATCTATTTTAAAATTCATTAAGATATGTAACTCCTCTTCCCTTGTTCCAGCTGTGATGACTAATTGTTAACAATGTTAATGCAGACTGAAAAACATAAATCGGCAATACAATGAATGATAATATTTATTACTATAAATGTCTATATCAGATCATGTTGTTTCTTTTTTAAATATCTTCATAATGTATCTGAATCTGAATTCATATAAAAATGACACATTGACACATTCCTTTCCTTTAATGTTATAATAAAACTCATCAGCCATCTGATCATTTTAAAGCTCCAGCACAGAGAAGGAGTTTATACAGTTTTGATATGTAAAGAACTCTAACATGAAAATTACAACATGACATGTGCCACTTTTGATTTAGCTCCAAAAAATGAGATAATATGTCTTAACTGAGGGTTTGTTTATAACCTGTGTGATCACATGACCGACATGCTCAGCCTGTTGGACTCCTTTCTGGTGATGTCACTGCATCCTCAGATCTTAACTGAAGTTGGTAAGTAAAATGTTATCATAACTGACTGAAAAATGATGGCCAGAACTATGAAATAAGACCTGGGTTATAAACAAATGAATTTTCCTTTAGCTATGTGTGTGTGTGTGAGAGACAGAGAAAGGGAGGGAGAGGTCAAAGCAGCCTGAAGGCCATTGTAAATTCCTCGCTGGCTCAACCAAAGACATTCTTCTCTGCTGTTTTTCTTTCTAATCTCTATGCTCAGATTACCAGCTAGAGGGCCTGACCAGATGAGAGGAGTGCAGGGTGGCATGCATGCACGCACATGTGCCCAAACAAGCACAAACACGCACACGTACACCAGCTTCACAGACGTGCCGCCATCTATCGAAAAACACTGCTGTGTTTAATGGATGCTACAGTGCATTAATGGAAGACATCAGGTACACCTTTCATATCTGTACTGACTGAAGGTAGATTTGGCGTCACACAAATGAAATAAAAACACACCAACACACTGAAGTCATTACCTGGGAGCTTGTTTTTTGAAACCCAAAGAAAACAACACCCTGTGGAGAATACTGAGTGGATTCCCACATGACAGCCACCTAAAGACACACACACACAAACACACAAAACACAGTCTGTGAAACTAGAATCTTCCCATGAAGCCTTTCCAGATGTGACCAAATCAGTTTCACTGGAATGATACAACTCCATGGAGATTCGCTGTTAGATCTGATCGCATTAGTCAATCGGTAAAACAAATACAGAACCCGGAGGTGTTAATTCCCTCATTTGCAGAGTAAGCAAAGTGGTGTTGCCATAGTGTTAAATGTTAGAATGCAGAAGAAGGCAGAGAGTCAATTTCATACGAAAATATTTCAAATTATAACATATCATTGTGTTTATACAGTTAATGGAAAGAGGAAAACAAGAACTGTTTTTACAATGTACTTCTGGTTGTAGCTGAAGTGGCATCGATGAGCAAACATGTTGACATTTTAATTAATTCTGTTCAATTTTCTTTCTGCTTTGCTTTCAAATGCCATGTCTTAAATTTAATAAATTAAATAGGTCTGAATGTATGCGTAATAATGTTTGATTTACCTGTATCTATTTCACTTCTATATTTCAGCTAACAGAAGAGAGATGTTAGTAGTGTGTTCTTCAGATAACTTCAGATAGTACCAACTACAGAGCCTACATATAATTGCTGTTTCTACCTAACAACAGAGCATTACATGGAAAGGCAATGGAGGAAAACAAAACAGAGGGGATTTTTGAAAAATTATAACATTTTCTAAACGCCATTACAACACAAAATATCTATCTTGGTTGGAAAAGTTGGTTTTGTAATCAAATAATAGGTGGCTGTAATGAAATTACAATGTCTGCCAACAAGCAGTGCTTACGGCAACGAGTCACTGTGGTAGGAAATTCATTCAGGATGGTGGAGTAGCAATGTGTAATGGAATTACACAGCGATATCATGTGTTACTGGGAAATCACAGATCATGTAAAAACATAGTTAAAGAATGGATATATATTGTTTTTAGTGATGTTAATATGTCAGTAAAATCCCCATCTGTGTATTGGAATCAGTACAAATGTTTGTTTACGCTGTCAGCATGAAAATACAGCCTTTCTTCCTAATTGATTTCTTTCTGTCTTTATTCTCTTTTTGTTTCTCCCTGCCTTGTTGAGGCTCAAGAGATGGTGTAAGCAGGTTGAATGGATGTACAAAAGCATAAAATGAAACAGTAAGTGATTATTATGACAAATACAGTGATGTTATAGTGATTCCTTGTCACATTTATATCTTCACCTGTAGTTGTGTGGTTGGCTGAAGATTTGTAGCCTTATTTTATACTTAAACTGTGTCATGAGGATGCAGGGGAAAATCTACTTTTCCTCCATCCATCCACATCCTCTTGTACCTGACCTCTTTACACAACTTGTGATGCATTATTTGTAGTTTTCATGCACAGTTCACCTTGCAAAAACCGAACAAAGCAACAGGAAAGAACAGGTGTGATGGTAGAAAGTACACTTCATATCTATTTGTGTCTTTGTATCTATTTCTAAAACATTTCAATCAAGTGCTTTTGTCTTTGTTAATTTCTCAACTTTAAAATTTAATGGGATTTTAAATTGCTTATTTTGCTTAAGAAGTATGTACAATTTTCTCAATGCATAAAGGATAATGTTATCCTTTAAAATCAGAATCACCAACTTTGTACAGTAATGCTTCTCTTTTATTATCTAAACTTTCTCCAGCCACTCATGCACACATGCTGACAGATCCCATAACAGCTGGATAAATCTTGATCCCTGCTATGGTGACAACAGACAGGAGGCTGAGGGCTTAGTGCAGGCCCAGTAAGGTGCTCCACCAGGGGGTGTGGACCACCCAACACCCCCTGAAGCCATCAGTCAGTCCAGAATCAAATCAATGGAGGTCTCTGTTGCCACTAAGGCATTCAACAATGAGCAGATGGCACAGATGTAATGTAACATTTTTTTATTTTTTACCCATCTGTAGCATTTCTTTGCCTTCCTTAAAGTAATTACAAGTTTTTTACTTTTACTAAATAAACAACTCCCACTTCTGCCACTCTGCCCCGTCCCCTTTTTGGCCTAAGCTGCAGTGCTAAAAGACACACAACTAATCAACCCCAAAGTAACACCTTACATCAAGGGAAAGGAGGGGGGTGGCAAAGGAGATAAAATGTATACTAGTTAACTATTCACCCATAGCTTGGGCTTGGCTAAGCTGCTCGGCTGAACCAGCAAGAGTTCTCACACCTCAACAGGTGTGGGGAGAAGAAAGGGGGAAAGGGAGTGAATGATGAAAAGAAATGAGAAAAAAAGAGTGTCTGAGCACCTGTTTTGCACAGCCATGCCTTCCTTTTAGCGGGTCAGGGCTTGCACTACCCCGCCCAAAACAACACATTCATGTCTCACTGCCTGTTCAGCTATGCGAAGTAGTGCTGGGTCAATTTGCAGATGTTAGAGATAAACAGAATTGGAGAAAAAAAGTCAAAACAGACTAGTAATTACGGTGAGTAATTACTGATGGCTAAGGCAGTGAATCAAACTTAACTGTAGGTCAACACAGAGTTTAATTTTGCTTAACAGTGGCATATGCATGCATGAAGTAGAGATATGTAGACAAACTTAAACACAAACACTGCTACAGAGGTGGGCCATTTGAGCTTCAGTGGACATTTGGAAGCTCTGAAAATGAGATTTGAAAGCAACATGAGAAACTGAAAGAGACCAAATTATTTGTGTGAACATAACTAAAACTAAATATTTTTCAAAAGTTTGATGGTTAATATTGTGCACTTTCATGGTATGATACTTTTTTAGCAAAGACATAAAACCTTTCTTACCTTATGTAAAAATTGATTGTAGGAAAAAATATTTGACGCATGAATAATTAATTTATCGACCACATGTCAAAAAATATTTTCAAAAACAGTTACAGACACTTTTGAATACATTTACAAAACCAAATGAAAAAATTACTCACTCAGGTCTGATGATGGTTTACAGAAAATACTTTGTTACTGTACTTAAGTAGTTTTTCAAGTATCTCTACTTTACTTTACTATACTATTTTTCAGACAACTTTTTACTTTTACCCCCTACATTTTTACTCAAATATCAGTACTTTCTAATCCTTACTTTTTCAAAAGGACGTAAAAGAACAAGACAAAACAGATGAGAGGGAGACTCAACCTTATTTAAGTATCTGTACTTATACTTGAGTCAAGATTGTGTGTACTTTTGCCACCTATGCTAAAATCAGGGTGATGGACATAATAATTTCCACCAAGATGATGTTTATGACAATTCTCCTCCATCAACGTGTTGGTTAAGGAACCAGACAAACAGTATACATGGGGATGATGAACACTATTAAATGTCACGAAAGCTATTATGCTCTACCCTCAAAACAGTATTTTCAGTGCTGATTTAGTTACTTCAAAGTCCTTTTTTATTCATGTTTTATGTTATTTTGTTTATTCATTGTGGATGAATTGACAAATCCACCAAGGAGCATTAACATTATTCTCTACACTCAAACATACACAGCCTGGTCATCTGATCTGACCACCACAAAGGACCACAGTAAAAAGCATATCAGGGGTCTGAAGGTTCCTCAATGCCCCTACCTCAAATATGAACACACACACACACAAACAGCATGCCTACAGAGCTCACTGTGGCTCATTAACGTCCCGGTGGGGGGTGGGGTGGGGGTCAGGGGCATCAAAGTGGCAGGATCACTGCAGACTCCGCAGCAATCCTACCATGGGGGTCTGGAGCCGCAGCGTCTCACCCCCTAATGAGAGGCCATGACATGCACACATCCACACACTGTTTGACCCCACAGGACCAGCTGGAAAAGAGAGTCTGACATGCCTGTCCCAACCCACCTCCCCCCGTCGCCTCCTCCATTCCTCTTCCAAACTCCACAAATTCCAGCCCCAGCGCAGCGGCTCACAGTCACCACTAGCCGGGTCATGTCTCATCTCCCAAATATACCTAAATCCAGAGGGGGAACCAGGGGAAGGGAGAGGAAGATGGAGAAAAAGAGACAGGTCAAGAGCACACTAAATGATTTAATGTTGGTCTGCAAATAATGATTATTACATTTTTCATCTATCTATCAAATATGACCTTCCTAGGTCTATAAAATGATCAACAAAATGCTTGTTTCAATTTCCTAAAGCCTAATATAAGTCTTTTAATTGCTTGTTTAATCCAACCAGGAATCCAACACCCAAAAATGATCAATTAACTATCACATAGGATGCAAAAAGGCTGCTAATCCTCACAAATGAGAGAGAGGAAATGTTTGATACTGTAGCTTAAAAAAATGTAATACTACTCAAAATGAATAAATGTGTTTTCACAGTTCATTAGGATTTTAAGCCATCTAGTGATGCCAAATAAGAAGCTGAAATTGTAGTGACTAAATGGGATTAATTTAAGCTCTTGTGAAGTATTATTAATGACAGACGGATAAAGAGAATGAAAACAAAGCACACACCTATCTGTCAATCAGCACAACTGATGGGAAGAGCACTCAGAGGCATGTGAGTGGGTGTGAGTCAGAAGGGAGAAAGGAAGGGGGTGGGGGGGTGTGTTCTTTGGAAACTTTCGTCCAGCAAACGGAAGTCTGCAGCAGCAGCAACAGGGGAAGAGGGGTGCAGGGTCGAAGGGAACAGAGGCCTTGCAACACGGTTCTCAATTATCCGGGGGCGACGGGCTGCTGCGTGTCAGGCAGCATGTGGTGTTATTGCCAGATGTGTGGTGTATGGTGGTGTGTAGTTTGAATGGCATCACAGGCGGAAGGGCCTGAAAAGACACGGCGCCAAAGAAAGGGGAGCACAGT